CAAGGATTACAATCTATTTTCTGAGTTCCTTGCTTTTTCTACTATAGAAAGTAGGAAGAAAAGAAATGTAGATAAAAACACAATGGCATCTTGTTACTTCAAGTCCACTCAAAAGGCTGTGGCTTTCAAAGTTATCTATATTAGATTCATTCTGTTACTCCAATAACAGTTCTTATAACTCTCCATGTATCTTGTGTTCCATCCAGGGAACTATCTTTACTTTTCTTGGCATACCCCAGGCTTTATTCTTGCCTCTGTTCTTTTGCCCATGTTGCTCCCAAATTCTGGGATTTTTCTTCTTCGTCCTCTTCACAAATTTGAATTCTCTCTTACCTTCATATTGTAACTGCCCCAATTCGTCCACAAAGTGTTCTGCAACTGCTCTAGATCCCAGTGTTTTCTCTTTTCTTGGAGCCTCTCTCTGCTCTTGTGTTTTTAACCACATAGTATAACACAAATTATCCTTTTTCTCCTGTTATTAGTTTTCTTTCTCTGGCTAAATTGTAACTTCTGTGAGGACAAGGGGCCAAGCTTTGTACTTCTCTGAATGTAGAGCTGTGGTTCCCCAAATGGGGTCCCTGCACTAGTATCATCATCATTCCCTGGAAGCATGTCAGAAATACATGTTCTCAGGCCCTACCCCAGACCTACTGAATCAGAACTCTGGGGTTAAAGCCCAACAATTTGTGTTTTAACAAGCCCAACAAGTCATTCTCATGTATACTCAGGTTTGAGGACCACAGGTCTCTAGACCGTGTGGTAGGCAACTCAGTAAATAATGATTGAAATAATCTAGTCAGTCATTTTGGTGGATTCTCTATCTTTTTGATGTTGCAAATGGTAAGTTAAATTAATAAGTTTTTTATCTTTAAGACTGATGTTATATTCTTTAGCTATCATAAAGAATTTATATTTATATTAATGAATTAGAGTTTGTTAAGAAACATGGAAAAATCAACCTACTAGACCAGTAATTATCATGCTCTAGTCTGTAGATGACTTGTATGGAAGTAACCTTGGGAATATTTAATAATATAGATTCCCAGACTGTACCCAAGAGATTCTGATTTAGTAAGTCTGGGATTTGGACCTGAAATGTGTATTTTCTAAAGGACCCCAAATGAATCTGGTACTTAGTACATTTGGACTAGACTCTCCAGTTCAATCCTTTGTACATTCTTCTTCTTTCTGCAAATATTTATTGAGCTCCTACTTTGGTCTGGGCACTTGCTAGGTGTTGTGTTCTTCTCCATCTGGTCATCTCCATGGGCAGCCTCATTGTCTGTGTTATGAGCCATCTAAGCTCATAGCTTCAGAGTTCCCTGATGCACTCAATTCTGAGGAATCTCTCCTGCATTCTGTATTGGCCACCCACTTTCATGCCCATATCCTGAATCTTGTCATTCATCAAAAATTGAACCTCTGAATCTCTGAAATCTTAAACTTCAAATCTCAAACTACTCTTTGACCATAGGTGCTTTGTCCTCTAAGTTTTTCCTTTCTTTTACTCTTGCTGCACCTGTCCTTATTAGGACCTCTAGGCTCTTTAACTCTGTTTTCCCCTATCTTCTGTTTTCTGTCTTTTAATATTATCTGATTTCTTTATCCAGCCTGGATCCTATTGTCTGATACATGAATCCATTTTTTCCAGCTCCTTTGTTTCATTGGAATTGAATCCACACTACTTCTCTGCTCCTAGATCTATAGGTTCCTGGGAATTCTTAGAGAAAAAAAATCTCACAACTGTATAGATCTGTATCACAAGAAATTTCTAGTGAGCCAATTAGTGTTTCCAGCCACACCACTCTACTTGATGTTTACAAACAACATACTTCTCTGCCACTCTGATCTTTTCACACAATGTACCACCCACTGATTGAAATGCTGTTATACATCTTCCCATATGTACTCTTCTTTATCTGGCTCACCCCATTCTGGATGCAGGCCTCAGCTTAGATGTCACCTCCTCTAGGAAGCTTACCCCAAACCTCTGGCCCAGACTGGGTCAGGCTTCTTCCTTTTTGTCTCCTACCAATTTCTGCTTACCTCTGTTTGGATTATCTCAGTGTGATATAATTATCAGCTTATAGATCTGTCTTCCCTTCTAAATTTTAAGTTTCTTGAGGATAGGACACATATATTATTCATCTTTATGTCTCTAGTATTTAGAATGGTGTTTATTTCATAAATGAGCAAATGTGTCAGTGAGTGAATGAGTATGAGATATGTTGATCTGTACATTTCAAGTGTGAGGATGCTGGTCATGATATGAGATTTTACATAAAAAGAAGAAAAAAGAAGAAAATCACCTCTAGGACTCTGGACAAATCATTTCACCCCTACTTTCCCTCTTGGGCATTCTCATTAGATATTGGGTAGAATATCTAACTTTGGATCTCAGTAATGAATGTTAAGTCTGAACCTAAAACCTAGTTCTCTGCAACCTACACTAGTGCAGTGCATTTCAAAATAAGGCCGTGTTACATTCTTCTTTGTCAATTAAGGTGAAATGTACTCCATTAAATTTAGAGTAGAAGCTATGGATAAAGAAAACATAATTATTTTAGTTATGTGAAATAAAATATATTGAAGTCACAACATCAGAAAAAAATATAAGTCCCCAATTTCTTATCTAAAATTCTGAAGTTCAGGGCGCCTGGGTGGCTCAGTTGGTTAAGCAACTGCCTTCGGCTCAGGTCATGATCCTGGAGTCCCGGGATCGAGTCCCGCATCGGGCTCCCTGCTCGGCAGGGAGTCTGTTTCTCCCTCTGACCCTCTTCCCTCTCGTGCTCTCTATCTCTCATTCTCTCTCTCTCTCAAATAAATAAATAAAATCTTTAAAAAATAAAAAAAATAAAATAAATAAAATAAAATTCTGAAGTTCAAAAAGTTCTACAAACCTAAAGCTTTTTTCCTAACTCATTTGGCAGCAAAACCTGAGCTGACCTGACCTGAGACATTTTCTAGTTATTATTTAATGCTTAGAATGGATAATCATATATTTTGTTGTAGAAATATTATTGCATTTGATCATGAGATGTTGCTCCAGACCTATGGGAGTGTCATGTAATATTCAGTATATCATGTCATATTGCCTTTCTAAAACCCAAAACATTCTGCATTCTGAACCACATCTGGCCCCAAGAGACTGAGAACTGTGTAGTTATTTCAGTTATTATTTTTTGAGACTGAAGTTAATAACACTAAAACATAAAGAGGCCATAGGTAAATCATAAATATATTTTTGGCCTTCACCCACTATTTCATTTATGCCTGGAGACTTTTTTTATGATTAATTGAGGAAAAAGTATTTATTTGCTCCATATATGTCTTACCTAGTGGAGCTCAGTGACAATCCAGTAATGCAGTTAGAGGGGAGAAAAGTGAATATTACCTTCAAAGTCATCATTTCAAAGGCAGGCTTATCAATCTCTGGGCCTCACATGCGAAGAACCTGGTTGCTCGGTATAGCTAAGTAGCGCTGTCAGGAGCCAGGTGTCCTCTTAGCTTAAAGCTAGGTATACTACCTAGCTTTAAGCTAAAGATAGGAGTATGTTATCTGTCATTACGTCTTCATAATATCATATGGAAATCTTCCTTTCTCTTTTGGGTTTCCGTCCTTACCTTTGCTTTGAGCATTTCTAGTTTTTCTCCTTGGCTTGTGCTTAGATCTTTAGAAAGTGAAAGATCTTGGGGCACCTGGCTGGCTCAGTGGTTGGAGCATTCAACTCTTGATCTTGGGATTGTAAGTTCGAGCCCCATAGTGGGTGTAGAGATTACTTAAAAATAAAATCTTTAAAAAAAAAAAGAAAGTGAAAGCTCTTATAAAAATAAATACCAACTAACATTTCCTGAACCCTCATTGGGTACAAGGCTCTGTGGGATATATAAAGTTACAAGGTAAGGCTCTAGCCTGAAGTTATTTCCAAGCTCTGAGAGGAAAAGGGGACAAGTTTGCATAGTGAGTGAGACATTGCTCTTTAGATTTAGGCAGGTCTGGATTTGAAACCTGGCACCATTACTGAGTAGTGTGGTGACCTCAGACAAATTACTTTCCTCCTCGGTGCCTCAGTTTCCCCATCTGAAAAATGGAAATGATAGGAAAAGAACCTGCCTCATCAAGTCATCATGAAAATTAAATAAGATCATGCACATGAAGTGCTTATGTACAGGCCTTGGCACATGGGAAGTCTGTCATACTTGTTATTAGTCATTATTTGCTAATGCTGCAGTGTGGTCTAAGGGAAAGATGCTGTATTTTAGAGTCAAACAGACCTTGGTTCAAATGCTAGCATCTCCATTTACTGTCTATGTCTGACCTTGGGTGAGTTAACTTCTCTAAACCCCAGCTTAATTATTTGCAGAACAGGAAACACAATATCCACCATATAGGGTTGTTGTGAGGATTAAGTGAGATAAAGTATGTAAAGCACCTGGCCAAGTTCTTAGCCTGTGATGGGCTCTCAGGCACCCCTAACCCTGACTATCCACATGAATGCCAGGAAGTACAAGATTGAATACCAAATGATAGCAATAGTCAGTGAAAGTGCAAGCTTGTAAAATTATAGTTGATAATGTAATGTGAACTATTACCATTTAGTTTTGAAATTAATAGGAGAGAAGAATCTCTATAGGCTAGGAGTAAAAGGGAAGGTTTCCTAGGCAAATAATATATAAGCCGGGTCTTGAAGTGTGAGTAACATTGATGTCAGCAGAGGGGAGTACGACAGCATTCCTATCATAGAAGAGGATCAAGTGATCAAAATGACAATATGTAGAATAATAGTAATGGTTACAATGATAAATATGAATGAGCCAAGTGCAATATTTTCTATCAGATTTGTTAAATATGGTGAGTTAAACAATCAGGTGGGAATATGTAAAGAGTTACATAGGTAAATAGCCTTTTCCTTATAACCCATCATTTTTTATAATCCATAATTGTTATTGTTGTATCACTGTTGAGAAATAAGGTTTCACTTTGAACTTTAATATTACAGTAAATGGGCCAATCCTTTACGAAGGAGACTCAACAGAATTTTAAAGGGTTTGAAGAAACAAAGAAAGAAAATAAAGAGGGATGCTGAAATGTTAAGGACAGCAGTAGAAGAGGAGGAAGGTTTAGGTGATGAAAAAGAGCAAGAGACCAAAGGTAATTAGCAGTAGGATATAAAATTGAAGTATTTAATATTTGATTCTTGTTACCACCATCTTGGTTCAATTCATTTTTTTTTTTTTTTTTACCCCACAAATACTTGGACCACAGGAGTATTAGCTTCTGAAACAGTATTATCACTAGGGATATTTGGAATCCAGGAAGGTGGACAAGAAGTGTGCCAAGTTGTTTGGATACCACATTGTTTGGTATACATAGTTCAGCCCTTTAGAAGAAATGAGTGGAATCTGCCTGCTCTGACTCTGCAGCTCCATGAAAGACACCCTAGCTAAATAATAATGGCTATAGTTCTCCATATGTATTGACCATGCCAAATATCCAGGGGAAGGAGAGTAGCTTCAGGAATCTGACAGACCTGCAATCAAATCCTGGATCCTAGCTGTTAGTTTCAGCTACCTGTTCCCCAAACTTAAATAATTCAGTATGATAAGTGGTTGAGGGATCCCAGAATCCTACAGCAGGGACTACCTGGCCCTCAGGCTTACAGATCTCCTAGCCTTGGCCTGAGTTTCCTCCTCCCATAATAATTACAAAGAGCCAACTAAGAATAAAATGGTTGGTGAGAAAAGAGGTATCAGGGAATAGAGTATTGGACTGGGGGGCAGTCAGGAGACTCAGGCCATTAACTTGTGGCATTTTCATGGACAAGTTAAGTTAATCTTTCAGCAGCTTGATACCATCAGCTGAAAATTTTTTGTGTAGCTTAAACAATATAATGTATGTGAAAATGCTTTGAAAATTGCAATGTAATACTCGAATTTAAATTGTTAATTTCTAGCCTCAGTTACAGAGAAGCAGAGGAGTGGAATAACAGACCACTGATCTTAGTGTCAGGAGACTCTGGCCTTAGTCTCAGTTCTGCCATTATGTACAGTGGGAGCTTGGGCAATTCCCTTAACTTTCCTGGGCTTCAGTTCACCAAGCTGCAAAATGAGAAGTTTGGACTAGATGAACAGGAAATGTGACTTATTTCAGAAGAAACAAAATCCTTATATAAGGTATTATATATATATGTATGTATGTATATAACTATCTATATAAGGTAATACATAAGTATATATATATAATCATACATGTATATACATACCTATATATTATTGCTTTGTATAAGTTTAATGCAATACATACATGTGCATATGTATGCACACACAGACACACATATATGACATTATAAATAGACTAACAGTACAATTTCTGTGGGCCATTTACTGGGGCATGGATGTTCACCTTGTTATTCAGAAATTGTCATTGTATTTGCCACAGTGTATTTTGTCTTTATGCCTCACAGTAACATAAGATGGTACACTGGCAAACTGAAAATAAAGTTAAACATGACATTGAACGTACAGAGTTTGAGAACTTCGTTGCAGTCATTTTCTTTTCTAACAAAGTGTGATGTATATATACTAGTCCTTTCAAGTTGTTTAATTCGACTTTACTTTTCTCCTATAGCATTATTTTCCCACTGAGAAGAACACAAACCATTCAGAGCAGAGGTGACTGTCCCAGTCATCTAAACCTGATGGAGCATTTTAGGACAAAAATTAGTTGTCATTTTTGTCATGTTTACTTCCAAATATAAAATAAAGTTGATAGTTCTGTTTCTGTGCATCAAACCAGGATCTGAATTCTTCTTATTAAAAATAGTTTCTACAGAATTAAAAAAAAACATGAAAAGCACTGGTGGCATTTCAGGTCCTAGGTAGTAATGTGACTTTTGCAACTGCGGTTATGTTATCAACATATACTTCTGTTGGGTTTAAATAAGGCAGAGATTTCATGTTGTTACTCACCTTCCAGCAAAGTGGTTGGTTGGGGGAAACCCAGTGATCATATTTCACTATATATGATACTGTGTTTATTTTGAAGAAAAGAGGTAACAATATTTTGTAGTAGGGTTCTTCTTTTTATTTTATAATTTGTAACATTATTTTTTCTACCATAAAAAGCACACTCATTATAGAAAATTTGGTAAAGTTCTGTAGAAGAAAGAAAAAAATCATCCATAATCCTACTACCAAGAGCTGAACACTCTTGTTAGCTTATGTATTTTTTTAAAACAATTGTGTTCTGTAACATACATTAATTGATTTTTAAAAAGTTGTCTTTTCTTTATTATTCACTTTCCTCTTTTGAAATGTATGGGGCTCAATCTTACCTGGGCTTCTTGCTCATTCATTCAACAAGCATTGATTAAGCCCCTTTTATGGGCAATGCAGTTTCTGTGTGCTGGGGATGTAGTCACAAGCAAGATAAAGTTGGCCTTTCCCTCATGGAGCTCACAGTCCAGCTGGAGAGGAAGTCAGGTAAAGAAGTAATGACAAGGCTATGATAGAAGGAGTACCAAGTTCTATGGAGCATTTAGCAGGGGCACTTAGCCCAGACTTCAGGAGGAGGCATAAAATTGAAGGTAAGTAGGACCAACAGGTGTTTCCCATGCAATCACTCTGTGGTGGGAGGAGTGTTTCAGATATGAAGGCCCAATACGTGGAATATTTGGAATACGGCAAATAGTTCAGGATGGCAGCAACTTCAACTTAGATGTTAGATTAAAAGAACTTTATTGTTTTAAGATTTATTTTATTTGAGAGAGAGAGAGCACGCACAAGTGGGGGGAGGAACAGAGGGAGAGGGACTCTGTGCTGAGTGCAGAGCCAGAGATCATGACCTGAGCCAAAATCAAGAGTAGGACGCTTAACCAACTGAGCCACCCAGGTGCCCCTGATTAGAACTTTATTACCCACATTTGTTTATTTTTTAGGCCATTAAAAAATTTTTAATTCCAGTATAGTTAATATACAGTGTTAAATTAGTTCCAGGTGTACAATATAGTGATTCAACATTTCTATATATTACTCTGTGCTCCACAAGGTAAGTGTACACTTAATCCCCTTCACCTATTTCACCCATCCCTTCTGATAACCACTAGTTTGTTCTCTATAATTAAGAGTCTGGTGTTTGGTTGGTTTCCTTTTTTGGTTATGACCCACATTTTAAAAATGGGTTTTATCTTGTAGACAGAAGGGAACCAATGAAGGGTTTTAAACACAAGAATGGTATGGTTAGATCTATACCCTTAGAGGTCACTCTAACTATTGTGTGGAGAATTGGAAGTGAGCAGCACTGGGATCAAGAGAATCAGTTATGTGGTTGTTGTATTAATATAGGTGTGAAAACATGGTGTCCTGGGCAAGGGTAGTGGCACTGTTGATAAAAGTAAATAGATCTAAGAGCTGTTTGACATGTAGCATTAATAGGACTTGGTTATTAGTTTGTGTGGGGAAGGAATGAGGAGGTTGAAAGGAGAGTATAAATTTCAGGTTTCTAAATGATGAACCAACTGGAAAGATAGTGGTCCTATTCCTATTCAATGAGATGGGACAATGAGAAGGAGGACAGGTGTGGCAGGTGAAGAGGAGTCATTTTTGGATAGGCTGTTTGAAGTGCCTATGGAACATCCAGGTAGAAATGACTAGTAGGCAGTTAGATATATGGGTTTGGAGCTCAGGAGAAAGGTCTGGCTGGGTATAAAAGTTTAGGAATCATCAATATATAGATGATAATTGAAGTCCCAGTGAATGATTGATATCAATCAGGAAGAATAAGAAAAGAAGAAACTGGAATAGAATCCAGAAGAACACAAACATTTAAGGGATGGTCGGAAATGGTGTAGCTGTCAGTGGAGACTGAGAAGTATAAGGATAAGCAGGAGAGAGTTGTTGGGGAGGAAAATTTTTTCTATACCTTTCAAAATTCTTTTGGCTGGTCTAAGAATTAAATTGACATAAGACAAACTAACAGGAGAAAATCAAATTTAATTATGTACATACAGAGGCTCCGTAAAGAATTTAAGGCCTATAGGCAGTCAGGCAATTGAGGCTTATATGCCATTCAGAGCTAAGGAGAAAGGGGATAGGGGTCTGGGACTTCAAAGGGATGAAAATTCACAGGTAGATGAAAAAGTAAATTTTTGGTAAACAAATGTTTGCTGGGCCATACAGAAACAATGGGATACAGAGAGAAATTTTAACAAACAAACTTTGCTAGGTTCCTCCCTGTCTGCCACACCTAGTCCATATTATACTGTAGTTATCTATGCTAATAGCTCCCTTCCTGGAGTAGGTCCTCTATCTAAATTCTTTTAGGCAGTTAGCAGGAAGGCAAAAACAAAACAAAACAAAACAAAACTTCTTGAGCTTTCTGTTTCTTAAAAAGAATCAGCCTAAAATAATCCACATGCCAAAGAGACACATTTTGAGGTGGCAAATTTTGCTCCCCTACAGAGTGTATAATGAAATCCAAGAGGATGGCATGTTTCAAAGAGGAGGGAATGATTAACAGCATCAAAATTCTGATTCATTTCCACTGGATTTGGAAACATGGAAGTCATTAGTGACTTTGGCAATAGCAGTTTCAGTGATGAGGTGGGAGCAGAAACTAGATAACTTGAGTTGCAGAGTGACTTGGAAGTGAGAAAGTGAAAGGAGTGTGGACAGCTTATTGAAGTTTGGCTGTGAAGGGAATCAGAGAAACAGTGGTATAGTTATTGATTGGTAGTTTAGGATGGGGAGAATTTTTTCAAGATAGGGAGTAGAAGGAGCATTGAGTGTAAAGGCTGGAGGTGTGGGAAAGTTTCAACTTGCCCTACTGAGCCCCAACTTATCCTGTTCTGTTTATTCCATAGCATTTATCACCTGTGAACATACCATATAATTTAGTTATTTATTATGCTTATTGTTTATTATTTGCCTTCTCTTGCCAGAATATAAGCCCTCCTAGGGCAGAGGGAGTTTTATGTGTTCAGTTCAGGGATACATCCCAAGTGCCTAGGACAGTGTCTGGCACACAGTAGGTGCTCAACAAATAAAATACCTATTGGATGATTGGATTGGAAACAAAGACATTTTGTAGTATTCTTCACTTTTGCTAATGATTAATGGGTGCTGCCAAGGCAAACTGAATTCTTAGAAAAAAAG